CCCCAAAACCCCAAAACCCCAAAACCCCTCAAAAAATGTTCTAAAATGAACTAAAAATGCTCTAAATGGCCAATACAGGTTGATTGAAGGTAAGAACAGGTTTAACTGAACTAACCGTATAGATGATGAATTGTTAGAGAAGCCTAAGACTAGAGTGGAGGAATTGGAGACATGTGAAGTGGGAGAAGTGTTTGCAGTAGCAGTAGAGAAACATGGACAGCCGCAAGAGACCCCTTGATTTAATTATGCGGGTGCGAGTAAGAGGATGGAGGCCGTTTGGAGAGAGAATGAGGAGGAAGATGTTGGAGAGGAGGAAGATGTTGAAGAGGAGGAAAAGGAGGAAGTTGAGGAAGATGAGGAAGTTGAAAGAGATGATGAAGTTGAGGGAGATGATGAAGTGGAGGGAGATGATGAAAAAGGGGGAAATGATGAAGAAGGAGAAAATAATGAAGAAAGAGAAAATAATGAAGAAAGAGAGAATAATGAAAAAGGAGAAAATAATGGCTCTACAAATATTTTGAATGATTTATCAATAGTATCTAGTGAAAATAATGCTGTAGAGCAGGGGTTAACACAAGCATTGACGCCTGTCTATCTTTCCGAAGATACCAGCCCTAAGGAATCAATTGACAATACTAATCAGATTTGTATAGAAATTTCTTCGGATTCAAGCTCTCAAGATAATATAAACGAAGATGTGAAACCTAAATCTCTAATAAAGCGAAGATCATTTAAGCCTTGTGCAATCTGCCTGAATTATGACTATGATGAAAATGACAGAATTATCATATGTTATCAATGCAAAGAAGGAGCACATCAGAGATGCTATGGAAAAGAGATTCTCAAGGATGTTCCTGAAAAATGGTTCTGTGAGCGATGTGATTCATTAAAGAGAAAATACCAGCTTCCCGAATGATACCTATGATGATCCTCTTCAGGAATCCTTGTTCGAGTAAATACATCAGAATGGGTCCACCCTGTTTGAGTTAATTGGATTCCAGGAGTCTTCTTAAAAAATACCAAATCTCATGGTTATTCCAGGCAGATAACTTATGTTTGAGGAGAAATTGAATCAGATCAGTTTGGAAATATGTGATTATTTTGATGAAAAAGATCAGGAGTAACTCTCCGATGTGATTACCCCTCATGAAAAGTAAACTTTCACGTCAAGTGAGCTGTTAATAGTAAGGTAATCAAGGGCTTTAACGAACTCCAAAGCCTAGCCATGGTCGAAAATGATAGCTTTGTACCCTTCTTTTGACCCTGACATCAAGATAAAGGCACAAAGTTATGGGCTAGGTTAGGCTATCAAGGAATTAGATCCAACAAAATAGCATCAAAAATAGCATCAAAAATAGCTAAAATTCCTTTAAAAATAGGAGAAAGTTTCAACAACTTTCTTCAAGAGATTTATCACAAAAAGAGGGAATCAAAAGCATTAAATAAGGACTATGTTGAAAACAAGAAAAAAATAGGTAAAAACCTTTACCAAGTAAAAAGCAAAGGTCACACATCAAAAAAGGAAATATTTAAAGAATGGAATGAAAATTTTTGAAAACAGCTGAAAAAAACCATCACAAGATCAAAAGAGCCTAACCCAACCCCTAAATTCCTCAATAACACCTCTCGCCATCATAAAAATCGCAGATATTCCTATTTCCCTTCAAAAAATCTAAATCCTCGCCCAAAACCCTTCCACCACTCAAGTCCTCCCAATATGTAGATTCGAGATATGGAAGTTGTTTAAACAAGCAAGAGGTTGATTTCAGGACTTTTTGATGGTTATCAGGAGAGTTGTCAGAAGGAATCCCAAGTAATTTGTTTGGAATAATAAGGATCAGACCAATACTAATAGAGTATTACCAAGAGAGTAAAGAGAAATAATAAAATATAGCTATTTTAGAGGTAAAATGGAATAGAAATATGTTGCTCAATTGAACATCAATGAGATAAAGACTCATAGCTCTAATGAAAATAAATAAAGCAAATGCGTGTGGAGGACTTGGAAGAACTATCACAGTTATAAAAATATTATCTTAACTGCTCAGGTTTAGATTAGCTTGATTAAAATTCTGAGATAGAGTCGAGCCAGGGCAAAAATTGAGTTAGAAAAGAAGCTTTTGAAAATGTAAAGTTTTCTTAAAATCATTACATATGTGAAAATAGATTAAGATACATAAAGGATATATATTTCGGAATTCGCCAAAGTTAACTAAAATTAAAAAATGCATTAAACTTTAGGATATGCAAAAACAAATTTCTTAAAATTATAAGAGATATAAAATTTTGAACATCTGCTGATGAATGAGGTTTTAAATGGGCAACCTTGTATTTTGATGCCGAATTAGTATCCATACAAAATGAATTTTGAGTGAAAGCTTATAATCTTATGAGTTAACAGTAGCTTAAATCAAAGTCAATGTCTCATTAGATTAAAAATTTCAAACATCTATAACAAGTTAAACTGGCCATGCCTAACTCTGTAAGGGACAATCTCTTTACAAGAAGCCTTTTGATTCCATTATTCATTGAACTTTGAAATATTATAAGATTTTCAGCTATTTAATTTTAAAATAAGCCTCCAATAGTTTTCCGAATTTCAATAATTTTTTATTATAATTAAATACAACGGAGCCCATCTCTGAAGTTTATTACATCAGCTCTACTCCTGAATTTATCTATATTTCTAATTTTCAATGAAAAGTAAGATTTATGGGGTTTTGGGGTTTTGGGGTTTTGGGG